TCTCCTTCTTTTAGCCACTGAATCCTTGCTTTTTGTTGCCAGAAGAGTTCTTCAGTTTTGTGGGCTGATGCTAGTTCTTTTTTGGTTTCAATCCATTCTTCCCAATTGGCTATGCTTCCATTCTGCTGTAATGTGCTGCGTTTCTTGGAGAGATTATCAACGGTCGACTGATTCTGAGTTTTGAAGGTAGCACTCCATAGCAAAAGGGCCTTCCTAGTTGTCTTGATTTTTTCGTTTAGGATGAAAAAAGGAGTACCAGAGTGGGGAATGCTCCAAGCCTTTTGAATTATATCTTTGATTCCTTTTCTTGTGAGCCATCGTTTGTCAAAGTGAAACCTGCTTTTCCTCCTCTCCTTCAGACTGTAAGATTAACATAGAGTGATCAGAGGCAGTCTTGGCTTCATTGAAAATGGTTGCTTGAGGATGGAGGTCAAGCCACTCTGCTGAGGCAAACCCTCTGTCAAGTTTTACTTCCCCTAGCCCTTCTGAAAATTTGTTGTTACACCAGGTAAAATTGTAGCCAACCATTTTTATTTCTACCATTTCCATGCCATCAATGAAAGAGTTAAAGCCTGCCATACTTGCCACTGTTCTTGGAATGCCTCTGCTTTTTTCTACACTGTAGCAGATGTCATTCCAATCTCCTAGGATGTGCCAGTGGTTACCCCAAGAGGATTTGGTTGAGAGCAACTCTGACCATAGGGATTGCCTAGTAAGGAGGCAAGTGCTCAAGTAGACAAATATTCCCCAAGTAGGAGTAGAATCTGCCAAAGTGTATTCAACTGCAATGTAGAAAGGCTGCTTGGCAATTTGGAGAATTTGAACTTCTGAGGACCAGCAGAGAAGCAATCCTCCACTAAGGCCCAAAGGATCAACAAAAGAACATCTATTATCAAAACCCAATTTTTTAGCTACAGATTTAACAAAAGATGAGGATTGTTTAGTTTCTGACAGAAAAATAAAAGCTGGGTGGTGAGTCCTATTTGACTCTCTGATTTGGGAAATTGTAGAGGGCCCATCCAGCCCTCTACAATTTCACACCACAACTAGCATTGGCCACTTGGGTGCCATTCAAGGCTGGCCACCCCCACCTGATCAGAGTCTGTTTTTTGTTTTTTATTATATTCCTGAGTTGGATTTAAAGAACTGTCCTCTGCTATGTTTCCTTCAGAAGAATCTCTACTTCTCTTTGCAGATTTACACATTTCTTGGACTGAGGGGCTAATATCCTGCCTTTGGAGCCTACCCATTCTGGTTGTATCTCTTTTCCAAAGTTTTGGTCTACTAGAGCTGTGTGGGATGGGATAATGTCATAGTTTTGTCTTGAGGTGAGTGATGAATTTCAATTTCCATGTCATTGGGAATAATTTGAGTATGCAAGGATAAGGAATTATCTTCGGTTAAAATAGTGAGGGGGTTAATTGTCTGCTGGTGAAGTATATTGGAGGCAGGAGAGATGTGATTGGAGTGAGAGGTGGAAGCTTCAGTAGTTGGTATCTTGTGATGGGATGGTGACTCTTCAATGGAAAGGAGTTTGTTGCTGTCATGATTAGGGGTGGTGGAAAGAGGAGAAGGTGAGTCTGTGTGAGCAGGTGATGAGGGGTTAACAGAGGGAGGTGGGCTTTGGGATTCAGAGGTATGAAGGCCTGACCAATGGCTATTTTCAGATGCTCTCATCCAAGCACCATATTGTCCCTCTGTCAGGTTGCGTCGTATGTCCTCCATTCTCTTGGAGCAAGCTCGTTCCAAGTGCCCAATTAGACCACAATAATGACAGTGGTTCACCAATTTCTCATACTTGAAACCAACATTCACAGATTGATCATCTAGCATGTGCACAATGCGGTAGAGGTTCATTTAAATCCACGGTGACTAATAGGCGCATGATTCTACCACCATGACTACCAGCTCCTACTATCACCACATTTTGCACTTGTTTGAAAACTTTCCCAATTTTAAGTCCTACCTCAGTACTGAGCCAATCTAGAGGAACATTAAATACTTGAACCCATAGCTGAAGTTCTTGGAAAATGGCATGATTGATCGAGAGTCCTCTTTTCCATTCAGAGAGAACCAAATATTGATTCTCGTAAGTCCAATTAACTCCCTTTGCAACTTTTGCTTTATCTTTCCTGCTTTGGAATATGAATTGGTAATAGTTTGGCCCCAGCTCCTTAATTTCCATAGGTTGGTTGAGTTTCCAGATATGGGACATCGCTCTTTTAACTCCAATCCAACTAGTTCTACGATCGCCAATGATTTTCCCAAACAGACTACGTTGGCATTCATCTGCGCTAAATTTGATATCATCTTGCCCAATGTCGATGAAAGAGTGTCGGAAGTGTTCTTTATCCGACAGAAGACGAAGCTTCTGGGCAAGTTCCTCGTCTTGCCCTGGATGTCGACATAGTAACCCTAGAATAGAATAGGCTGACAGATATTCACAAAAGACACGGATGATGAAGGATTATGGAGAGACTAGGACGGATAAGATGAAGGGGAACATATGAAGAATAGGCTAAGAAAGAAGAAGATCAAAACTGAAGCGCTCTCCGGCGAGAGAATATGCTACGCTCTCCGGCGAGAGAATCTTGGGATATTCACAAAAGACACGGATCATAACAACTACACGATCAATAGTTTTTGCTTAAATAAAGAAAAAATTATAATTATAATTTTTTAAATGATACTTATTTTAAAAAAAATCTTTTATGTATTAATGAAAATTAAAATAAATGATTCTTTTGGAATGTTAAGTGATTGCTGTTATTTTTCAAGAATACTAATTAATACATATTGTAACCCATATTTTTTATATTAAGTTTTTGTGATGACCTTAAACAGTTTAAGAGTTTCAAAATATTTTAGAAATAACTTTTACTTTTAAGATACATTATAAATAAAAATTAATATAAATGATATCACGAAAAAATTCTAGATAAATGAAAGTTCATATCCACACGAGGGTCATGTATGATTCCTTAGTTTATCTAAGATTCAAAATAGCAATTGCACAATCATCAAAAGGCGTCACAAAAATTTTGAGTGAATCGTCACTCTTTTATGTATATTAGTTGTAGATTTAACAAAAAATTATGTTACGCCAGATGAGTTTGAAGCAATTATGTAATTGTATATATTTGTTCCAGTCTTCAATATATGATAGTACATGGATTAACTAAAGTGTCTTTTGAATAAACTATTGATATCGTATATTCTTACAAATTTAAAAACGATAAACTAATTACCAATCCATCAAAACCCATTATTGAGAATTATGAAGTTTTAAAACTTTAAAAAATCATATAAAAGTTTACAAATACAAATATTATAAATCACTAAATATGTAAAAAATAGTTATTAAATACCATTTTAGATTTTGTTTATATTATATTTTCTTAAATAAAAATCTTAATATTCAGTTTATGGCGCAATCATGTATTCGTTTCATGAGTGATAACAAAAAATCAAGAGTTATTTTATGATATTGATGATTAAAAATTAATTTGTGTACTTGAAATAATATTTCAAGAGTGTGTAAATGTTAAAAAATATTTATATTTTTATATTAACTCCGTAAAAGTGTAACGATGTATTTTATATAATTCATCATGATAGAAACATCTATCAAATGCGATACTTTGTAGTTAAAGAAAAAAAATCCCTGTTCAAAGTTTACATACTTTACAATTTATTTGACATTTTCAATCACTTTTAGTTAACTAAATTTTATTTGTTATTATGTATACTTAGAGGATGCTTGGATACAAAACATCTAAAAAAATATTCAAACATTTTTTTTACTCAACCATTTTTTTTTAACTTAATTTTAACTCAACCCCACTATCATTAATATTTTCAATATAATTAAATAATATAAATCAATTATTCTTACACACCACATCAACTTTAATTTAATATTTATTAACTCACATAATTTTAGTTAATCATCACTTCACATATTCTCTTTCTTACTTTTACATTAAATCAGTTTTAACCATTTTATTTTAAATATTATTTTAATATACTCACTAACTAACCTTACCACATTTTTCAACATTAACCAAACCAAACAAAAAAAATTCAAACAAAACTAAAATTTTATATACAATAAATTATACTTTTATCTCTCTTAAACTATATATATATAGTGTGAACCAAGTCTTAGTGTGAGAACCGTGATAACCGCTATTTTTATTTGGGCGTAGTGCTATGATTGATTGTGTTTGATGCAATTTTTAATCAGGATGAATTTTATTAAAAATAACTACACAATTTCTGTTAGCATTTGTAAAAATGATAGCAGCATCTAATATGAAAAATAGCATCATACACAATTAAAAATAACATAAAAAATGGTTTTCACGGTTCTCACACCAGTACTAGTTTTTATTTGAACCAACCCCTATATATATATATATATATATATATATATATATATATAATGGGTGCTTTGGCTTTTGAGCAGGTTTAAGAGAAACTATCTTGGCACGATCATATTACAAAATTATAAGTTTAGGTATCAAGAAATCAAATTGATCATGATCAAGTCCTAATGAGTATAGAAATCATACACTATACTGCTAAAAGCAAGTTTTTATTATTTTAATATATAATTAGACTATTTGTGTTTTAATTATAACTTTAGGTTAGAATCCTTTTATACTGATATATTCAGTGTGATTACAATTTTGCCACTAAAAATATGTCAAAGTAAGGTTTTTTAGGCAGTTCATTTTTTTTACAAAATCACTCGTCTTGTTTATAAAAATATGTTAAAGTAAGGGTTCTTTAGGTAGTTCATTTTTTTACAATATCACTCGTCCTTTTATAATAGTATATAGATTCACTAGTCTTTTTATAAAAATATATTAAAGTAAGGGTTTTTTAGGTAGTTTATTTTTTTACAAAATCACTCGTCCTTTTAGTTCATTTTTTTACAAAATCACTCGTCCTATATATAGATATAATACAATATATCCCTCGAAAATTATTTCCAGATTGCCACTGTCTGTGCTCTCGCGGCTCACAAACTACGCCGTCCGGTCAGAATCTACATGGACCGAAAAACGGACATGACGATCGCCGGAGGCAGACACCCGATGAAGATAACCTACACCGTCGGATTCAAATCGGACGGCAAGCTCACGGCCTTACACCTGGACGTGCTCATCGATGCCGGCATAACACCAGACATAAGCCCCGCGATCCCGGGCAACATGGTGGGGCCCCTCAAGAAATACGACTGGGGGGCACTCTCCTTCGACATCAAAGTGTGCAAGACGAATCTCCCGAGCAGATCCGCCATGCGGGGCCCGGGCGAGGTCCAGGGATCTTTCATAGCCGAGGCCATAATCGAGCACGTGGCCTCGCTTTTAGATATGGAAGCGGATTACGTGAGGAAGAGGAATATCCACACGCATGAGAGTCTAAAGATGTTTTACGGAGAGTCGGCCGGGGAATTGTTCGAGTACACTCTGCCTTTGACTTGGAATAAGGTGGGGCAGTCATCGGGGTTTGAGCAAAGGATGAGGGAAGTCGAGCAGTTTAACCGGGTTCATATGTGGCGAAAGAGGGGAATATCACGAGTCCCGATTGTGTACGATGTTTTAGTGAGGCCAAGTCCTGGGAAAGTGAGTGTGCTTTGGGATGGTTCTGTGGTTGTGGAAGTTGGGGGGATAGAATTGGGGCAGGGGCTTTGGACGAAGGTGAGACAGGTAGCGGCGTATGCTCTTGGTGGGATTGGGTGTGATTGTGAAGATTTGGTGGAGAAAATTCGGGTTGTGCAGGCGGACACGTTGAGTGTGGTGCAGGGAGGGTTTACTGTCGGAAGTACGACTTCTGAGTCGAGCTGCGAGGCTGTTAGACTGTGCTGTAACGTTTTGGTCGAGAGATTGGCCGAGCTTAAGAAAGAGTTGGTGGAGGAAAGAGGTTCTGTGAAATGGGGTGATCTGATTCTCCAGGTTTGTTGTACCTTTTTTGAGCAAATG